CTTTTGCAGTGACTGTGTTTTGGGTTTTCTTTTTCAATGCAAGCACAAACCTTGAGCACCAGTTTCCATACTGCTCCGTCTGGGATACACACTTGTAACCCAGCATTTCATAATGTTCTATCACTTAACTTCTGGTATTGGTAACATATTCTGAGATTTCTGAAAAGTTTGTACTGGGAGGAGTTAACTGGAATACTTGTGTACCATATGTTACCCAATTCTAGGTTAAAGTACAATTTTACCATCATTTCAGTGACTTTTGCCAAGGCTGAAAAATCAGAGCATATTGAACAGGAGAGAGTTAGTCACAATGTCATACTTCTCTAGAAAAAGAATACTACTTTATCCACAGTTTCTCCAGTATTATGTAATTAGGCTTTTATTTATTTTTCTCTAAAAAGTTTGTGTTATAAGAATTGATTTTCTCTTAATTTTTATTTAAATTCCAGATTCAAAGAAAGATTTGACAGAATATTATATTCCATCATTATCTGTTTATTAAAGTCATCCCTGCCAGAATTTGACAAAAAGTTAATACGTAAAACTGTCTAAAAAGTTTACTGATAAAATTCATTAAAATAATTCCTTCTATGACCTGAGACACTGTTTTAATGGTGTCCTCCCGACAATACAGAAAAAAAGTGGAGTCTGACTGAACACTGAACCGTAATTGTTCGCGCTCACAACTTTGACTTTCTGCTGCATTAATAATAGAGCAGTATTAGTTTTGAAATATCAGAAGTGAACGGCTCATTAATTTTTCACCTTAAGCTTAATAGAAATTTGACAAACAGTTTTATGCTGAGAACAGACACTCCAAGCAGGACTTCACAGAACATTATGAGAATAAATTAGAGCGTAAAAGACAGAATAAAGTGTGTTTGGTCAAATAGGATGGTTCTGCCATTCAATTGCCTGAAGTGAACAGTTCAATGCATTTCTGTGGAAGAAATATTCTTCCCTTTACACGTTCCCAGAGTATCTTCCGCACTGCCCTTTGTCAACAGCTGATCTCATATTAACCACGAGAAAAACAAAGATGTATTAACTGACGCATGGTGCACATTTACATCATTTGCTCTTTGAACTCATACACAGCACCCTCCTCACTTTGCTGACACCTTCACCAGTTGTTAGGCTTCCACTGGTTCTCATGAAGCTAGTCACAACGATTTCTTTCTACTTTTCTGCAAAACCAGTTTATCTGTGGTTTCCCTGCCTTACTCTCACCACCTGCCCAGACTGAAAGGGACCGTGTGGTACCTACTACAGAGGGACTCCACCAGCTGATTGGTGGCTCTAGGCACTAAAACCGCATCGCTACTGTTCAGCATCATAATTCTGCTACGCAGCAGCTATTTTGTTACATCTGCAGCTACGGCTGCTTACAATGCTGTCCGTAAGTAGCAGTTTTAAGACAGACATGACTCTTCCTACTCAAAAAGCAATCTTCAATTAAGCCTTCACACTTTCAGTTAACACCACTAGACAAGGATTGCACTGTCACGTTGGAGCATTATACATCAAGATTGTTTGGGTTTGTTCATTTTTGCTGCTGATTTTGCACATTGTTTCTCCAATGAACAGTTCCACATGTAACACCTCTTCCTAAGACAAATCTTACTGACTTCCTATATACTTTTCAATGGCACTATTAGTATGAGCATAGTCATACTTCCATATGAAATTTCAGGATTTGGTTCAAGCAGATTCTTAGAATATAGATCCCATTGAACCTCTGATATAAAATGTACCCATCTGCTCCATCTCATCAAGTCACTGATGTATTTTTTTTCCTTCCTAAATTATCTCTTTGAATATGGGAAGAAAACTGATTCTGGCTGTCACTTCTTGCTGTAAACGGATAAGTGAGAATGCTGATCCAGAAAAACTGATGCTGTTCTCCAAGCACTTATGAACAGGAAATTCTGGGAAGCCCCACATCTGCTCAATATTTGGACTTCAAAAGTCAGATACATGTTTCTCTGCATATGAAGTCAAATAGAGAGCTCTTCCTCCATCTCTCTAAAACAAGTAAAATAACGTTCTATGCAAACTGGTATTCTTACTCATGCATACTAAAAATGATGCCAATTGCCCTACGGTGCTTAATAATGGAAGTCAGAGTGGATTTCATTAATGGGAAGACTACCATAACTTAACACTTAAGAGACAATCTTGAGAGGTATAAGCTACACATATCAGCAAGGATAAGAAAAATAACCAGTATAGAAAAATATTACTCAAGAGAAGAGCAGAACCTGAAGCAGATGTCCATGGAGTAGAACTGGTAACAAGCTGTTTCCTGCTATGTCTTTATTTGGTTCCCTATGAATTATCCATCAGAATTACAGTGTGGAACATATGTCAGTTTTGACTAACTTTGCTTCACTAGCCATTGTAGTAACATGGAGGAAGAGAAAAACATTCACTTCTCTTTTGTACAGAAAGAACTTCGAAATTCTACAACCAGGGATTTTACCAGTGGCCAAAACTAAGGACTTTCAAAGCAGCTTTACAGGCAATGAAGCACGAGATGACGAACTAACTGTTCTGGCTATTACAACAGCCTGCATTTCAGGATGCACAATTCACAAATAGACAGGGGATGCTTAGAGCTATGTACCGATTTGAGAAAGACAGCAGTGCCTAGAAAAGGTTGATGCAAGTTTATGGAAAATACAGAGCTTGGAGTTAGCGAGGATCACCTAGAAGGAAAATAAGGTACTGAGAGTACTCAGAAAGCATATGAAAAACATTTTCAAATTTTTCTTCACATTGGTGATGGATAAGAGACTTCTTTAAAAACACTTTGAAAAAAATTCCACAGCCTCATGACATCAGGAGTTAATGAAAAGAAGAAAAAAAAGATATCATACCACCTGTGATAAAGTCCCGAGGGTTAACAAGACCATACGTTTATTGATACACACAAAACCAGATAACAGTATAGAGATATGGTTTTGCTTTACACAAAGTATACTCACTGCATTCTGTTCATTTCACACTTCATCCATGGAGTGGATGCAAATCTGGGTATATCTTATCCAAGATTGTCTCCTGAAACAGATTTCTGTTGTCCTCAAAAATAAAACTAGAAATTCTATAGATGAAATGAGAAGAAAAAATACCTCTGGAACAGGCTGCCATCTTTTTCCCTCGCTCTCAAGGAAATGTGCTTGACCAATATGAAAGAGGAAAAAATCCACACTCCCCTGTCTCAGTGCAAATCACTCTTGTCTTAATGCCTACTTACTATACTTTAAAAATACTGTCACTCTTGTTTCTTTTTAAGATAAATAGAATAAAAAGCAACACATTTATTTTCTAACAGCAAAACTGCTTGGACACACTGATGCAAAACCATCTCATTAATCCTCCTGCTCCCTTCTAAAAATATTTAATAAAACAGCAAGAATAAAAAAAACAACACCCCAAACCAAAAAACTTTTCGCTATACTCATCATTTCGAATCTCTCTTTCCACGTAGCTTTTTATAGTGACTAATCATTAAAATGACATTGAAGTGGCCAAAATAGAGCACAATTACGTAACACCTCTACACCAATTGACATGGAAGTAAAATTTTTCCTTTTTACACAATTATGCAACCACTAAGTCAAGAAAAGGAAAGAGCAATTCTTTCACATGTTACAAACAGTTAAAACATACGTCCTAGTAATTTACATCCCAGTAACAATGGGATACAACAGGGGACAAAGGACAAGGTAAAATTCTGTGTGAGCAAATGCTCATCTCACTACTGAACTGAAACAAACTCCCCACTGACAGACAGCAGTTTGGGCCACGTGACAT